ATATATATATATATATATATATATATATATATATATATATATATATATATATATATATATATATATATATATATATATATATATATATATATATATATATATATATATATATATATATATATATATATATATATATATATATATATATATATACATATATATATATATATACGTATATATATATATATATATATATATATATATATATATATATATATATATATAGTATATATATATATATATATATATATATATATATATATATATATATATATATATATATATATATATATATATATGTATATATATATATATATATTTATATACGTATATATATATATATATATATATATATATATATATATATATATATATATATATATATATATTCATATATATATGTATATATGTATATATATATATATATATATATATATATATATATTTATATATACGTATATATACGTATAAATATATATATATATATTTATATATATATATTTATATACGTATATATATATATATATATATATATATATATATATATATACATATATATATATATATATATATATATATATATATATATATTATATATATATATATATATATATATATATATATATATATATATATATATATATATATATATATATATATATATATATATATATATATATATATATATATATATATATATAAGTATATAGGGGAGAGTTGCCGAAAATGGAACAGGGCCATAATTGGAACATTTGCATTTATTTTTGAAAAAAAATTAATTATGGCTATATTTTACATTTTTTGAGTAAAACACGTTATTTTTTACGTTTTGACACATTTTGAGAGTTATTCCTCAAAAAATGCGTTTGCACCATTAATTTAAAGTTTTTTTGCGTCATTTTTTTTTAGTGATCTAATTTCGTGTTCACACTATATTAATTGCGCTGGGTAAACTATGGTGCTATAGGTTATACTGTTTTTTTTATTTAATTCGATGGGATTTAAAATGCAAGATAACTATATAATCTTATCTTATAAGTTGCTGCAAGCATGCAATTGTAGTGATATAACAAAATAGCCCTTGATTGAAATATTCAAGTTTTCCTTAACTAATCAGTAATAAAATCAAAGGGTTGAAAAAATACTTCGAGTGCAATTAAAAAAAACTTAGTAACAATCATACTTAAAAAAAACTTCCGATATACCTTTGTTGATTATAAAGCTTATATCTTTCTCTGTTGTTCAACTTAATAGTACAATTACAGCAGCATTATATGATTTAGATTTTTCATGGTCTTTGATTCTTTGGTATATATGGGAGGATTTTTTAAATCCAAGATTAAAACTAGAATCCTTATTCAAAAATGCCATGCATGCATTGCAGTAAAGTTCCACGATTTGATTGTGTTTAACTCTTGTCACGGTACTTGCTTCAATGATTACGTTAGGCGTTATATTCCACAAAAAAGCATTTTTCTTAATTAACATTGGGTTTGACGCGGGAACAGATGCCTCTTTAACAACATTGAAAAAATGTTTATTATTAAATAGCAGCTTGCGTCTTTTAGGATCACGGCCTGATTACGGTTCTTCTTTTTCTTATCTTCTTTTGGCACCGCTTGACTTTTTCCTAGACTTACATAATGTTAAGTTAGATTTTGTGGCAGCCATCTCATTTTCATTAGACACTGAATAGTTAGCTTTCTGGGAAGTTTTGTCAAAGTTTCCATACCAACCTACAAAATGTACAATGCAATCGCTGTAGTAACAAACAGTAAAATCCCGTTAACTTGGAATCATAAAGCAAGCCCGTACCGTAAGTTTTAGGGGGGTCATTTTGGAAAAAAAAAATTATTTTAGAGTATTAAACTTACCTTTTGCTTCATTTTTACATCAAAATTTGTTCTAACAATCTTTTGTCAAAAATGTTTCCACAGCTATAACCAAAGTCCCCATGAGACTTTTAATCAATTAATCTAGAAAAAAAAACGCCTTAAAACACATTTTGTTTCAAAAAGTGATTTAGAGTTAGCTGTTTCCGCGGTAGTTATATCTTTTAATGGGTTTTACGTTTCGCATAATGAAACATTTCAACAGCTTGGATTTCATTGTGGAAAATATTTCCTTCTCAGTGCAATTAAAAAGGACATCAATCGCATCATTTTTTTTTTTTTTTTTTTTTTTTGTTTTTATTACAATATATTCAAAGAAAAATTAATTAATTTACAATTATATTGTTAGGAAAAATTTACAAATAGATCGTTAAGAAAAATTTACAATTAGATTGTTAAAAACGTTATTCAATAAGAAATAAATAAAAGATAAAACTAAGACTTTTTTGCTAATATAAAATTTTTTTGTTAATATAAAATCATTCATATGGAAAGGAAGGAAAAAAAAAGTATCAAAATCAAGGAGGAAAAAACTGAGAGGTATAATAAAGGGATTTAGCAAGGATGACTCCTATGTGTCTGGATATTTTTAAATATATATACTGTTAAAGTTGTTTTATTTTGTTTACTTTCGTTTTCTCTGTTTTTAAACAGATTTTTAAACATTGAACAAGAATCTTATAGTTAGCTGTTGTCGAGAGACATTGGCAGCACAAGTTTTAAATAAAAATTAAAAATTATTTTTTAAAATGCATCCATTTTTATTCTGCAAGAGTTCTGATGGTGTATCTGGTCAATCCTTTAATCAACATGCTGTTAACCTTTTTGAAAAAGTTTAACCTCACACGTTGACTATTTCATGAGAAATCTTTGTCTAAAAATGTAATGTGGGCTAGTACCACTTAAATGGGTTTCTACTGTATATCTACACACTGGCATAATAAAAGTCATTTTTTACTTTTTAGTACATTTTATAAATTCTTGACTTTAAAAGTTTTTATTTTAGATATTCATTTTTTATTTTTTAGTCTTCTTTATATTTCTATGTCCATTCAAAAAAGCATTACAAATAAAATGTTGTAAAAAAATAAAATAAACCACTTAAATCAAACCTTAACAAAAAAAATAAGATTTTAAATTTGAACGATCGCGAATATTTAAAAACATTAAATTTTAAAAAAATTATATATTTTACTTTAAAATATAATTAGAGCAAGATTTTCCATTATTCTTTGTAGCGTTATCCTTGCATTAAGTTTCCTTGGAATTCCCTTCTAAAAGAAGCAATTTAATAATTTAATTTAAATAAAAGCACACAATTTTGCATTCTTAACTCCGTGACACGCTTTTGGAAATAAAAATAAGAAGTATCAAATCAGTTTGTTATTAAATTTGTGATATAAATCATGGGCGGATTAAGGGAGGGTAGTCCTAACTCGGACTTTTCTCAATCACTTCTATCAAATTTTAATTTCTGACGAAAAAAAGTTTCATTCGGTCTAGTTTAAACTATAATTTAGTAAATACAACGAAATTGAGTTCTTTTATCGAGTTTACCATAGTTTACCTTCTTCAGATGCTTGGCGATTGGGGCTTTGGTGGACAAATAGATCAAGTTTAAAGTTTTTTTGAGAGACTGTTTAATTGAAATTGAAACGTGTTTGTTCAAAAATGGAACGCTTGGTCGCAAATGGTCGAAGGATTTATGAGTCGATGGTACTCAGAACTAAGTGAAAGAACAGCTACAAACATTGCACTCTTGAGAGCAGGGTTATGCACACCAGAAATTATTGCCCGTTTTTTTGATGTTTTGAAGAATTATTTTGATTTAGCCAAAGGTTTTAGTAAAGCTATGCATTTGTGGAATTGTGATGAAACTGGTTTCAATGGTGACAAAGGCAATGTGAAAATAATTACAAGAAGAGGTGCAAAGCGTCTTGATTAACAAATCAAAATTACAAATTTGTCAGACTTTTAATAATGCCTTAATAACATCATCAGCAGTTACAAAATAATCACGCAGCCCAAGTTTTTTGCCTCACACTGCTCAACAAACACAGACCTTAATTCTGCCTGCAACTCCAACTTACATTTCAACTTTAAATTTAACTTCTCAAGAAGAATTGGCGACTCGTGTAAAAATTAGTCTTGAAAGAGCACTGTTGAAGCAATTTCAATTCCAAAACGCTTACAAGCATAAAAAAAAAACCAGAAATATAAAATAGTGGCTGGTCAAGCTTTTACAGAAGATGCATGGTTAAATAAGTTAAGAGAAGAAGAAGACGCAAAGCTGTTAAAACAAACATATGTTGATTTTGCAGCAGCAGATGTAAAAACTCCTGCCAAGAAAGCTAAAAAAAGTAAAAAAAATGCAAAAATGCCCAAAAGTTTTCGAAAATGAAACGCCAAAGATGCAAGTTTTATAGAAAACCTGTGAAAAAATCTAGTTGCAGTTCGTGGCTTTATGAACTTTGTCTCCCAAAAAGATATATAAAAGGCGAAGAGTTCTTTTGCACGAAACTTAGTTTATAAATTTTTTATTATTTTTTAAGGATCCCGCTTGCTTATGTTTTTTATTTATTTTTTTTCTAGTATTTTCTGCTCGTATTATTATTATGTGTATATTTTAAAAATAAAAATGAAAATATTAAATTCATCAATTTATCTATGTTTTTTATTATGTAATTTGGAACTGTCCGCTTTTAGGGACAATTTTCCGAAAAGCGGACACTTTTTAAAAAAAATAAAATCTTATTTTCCAAAGTAACTTAAAATAATTTTTTTTTTTTTTTACACTTCATAATTGCTTTAATAATAAACTATATTCCAGAAAAAAAAAACCTACAAATTCTCAATATTGAAAAAGTTATTCAGCTTTTTATGAAGAGTGTCTGGTTTGCTGTATTTTTACTCTATCTGTGATAATTATATAAATTAATTATTCTTAAAAATAATAATTATATAATCTTATATACATATACTCTCAGTCAAAAGCGTTTTTTCTCCACAAAGCTGTTTAATTTTTATATCAACTCATAAATAATTTATTTTTTTACAATCGCTATTCTTACAGATAAGTTATCAATTATAATAACTTTTTAATGTGTTTATGGTTATTAAATACAGTTTTATTTTATATACTCTGATTATAAAATGTATTAAAATCTTGACAAAAATGATTCTAAATCTATTTCTTATTTGGTATGTAGTACTATTATGTATTTAAATATAAATATATAAATACATAAATATATATATATATATATATATATATATATATATATATATATATATATATATATATATATATATATATATCGATATATATATATATATATATATATATATATATTTATATATATATGTATATATATATATATAATATTTCTATGTTTTTACAATTTTGTTAATATAAATATATGTAGAAATGACAAATAAACATAAAAATATGCATATAAAATTTCTTTTATACTATTTCTTCGACGTCAAGTTGAAATATATAAATATAAGTCGACAAATTTTCTTTTTTTTAAAAAAAATGAGCCAAATTAATCACTTAAATTTTTTTTCTATACAAATACTTAATCTTCGCAACATCAGTTAGTGAAAAATGAACTGAAATAGACAATTTTTTATGTCGACTTACGGTGTAAAAAATTTTTTTTTGTTGAGGGTATCTTAAACTGTATAACGCATCTATGTATTTATAACAGAACCCTTTTTCTTTTTCTTTTTTTTTTCTTTATATTTGTTAATGCTTTCAATTATTAAATTTTAATTATTTGTTATATTCAAGTATGTTAAGTATATATACCTATTGAAAGTTTATTTATTTTGAGAATATTTTATTAATACGAAATATTAACACGTAAAGTTTTTAGCGGTTCTCGACTACAAGACCTTAGGGTCTTCTGCGAGTTCCCGCGCTCTTTTTTTTTTTTAATAACGATCATGTGTATATATATATATATATATATATATATATATATATATATATATATATATATATATATATATATATATATATATATATATATATATATATATATATATATATACATTGTTAACAAATATTTATTAAATCATAAAGTTGTAAAATTAAAAAAAAAATAATAATAATAAATTCTTTCTCTAAAATATATATATATTTTTTCAAATCAAAACTAACACCCCCTTAATATACCGAGCTTAACGAATTTGAAAATGACCTTCTAAATTTAGTAAAATCAAGGCCTTCTTTAACAGGCCGCGACAGCTCATTTTCCGTAAAATTAGCGAAGGCCGATTTTTTTTACGGAGAAGTATAGTTTCAATGAGGATTTTGGTTGTTTGATTTAAACTATAATAGTTAAACTCGTAAAATGCCTAATAAATGCTGCGTTTATGGTTGCTCCTCAAATTGCAAACAAAAGTAAAAGATAATGTTTATGTCACAATATATAGGATCTCCTTTAAATCCGAGGATCGCGAGTTATGGATTAAAAAAATTCCAAATGCAAACTTTGTGTTTACAGATTATAAGCGAATTTGTGCTCAGCACTGGCTTAAAGATGCAAAATTAAAAAAAGTCAAAGGTGGTAGTTTTGTTCCAGTGCATCCTCCATCAGTCTTTAAAGATATACCAGTGTCTTGTATTCCAATAGTTTCTAGAAAACGAGATGTCACTGGGTTGATATGACTGGGTTGATATGCTCTGAAAAAAATAATTTACCTAATGAGTTCGAAAACTTCAAAAAAATGGACGTTATTCAATTTAATACAATTGTAAAAAATTTGAAGTCAATAATAAATTACTGTGAAGAAAAATTTTATTTTGTTGAAAAAGAAAAAAATATATCTTTAATATCATATGAACATTGTGGACCAGTACCTAAGTTTTCAATATATATAACTTTAGAAGATTCTGGAGATATTTATTTTACTGGATATAGCTAACTTTTACAAATTAAACTGTCTTTTTTAAACAAACTATTAAATATTATTCTCAACTGGAGAATGCTGTTAGTTATGTTATTAATAATGAAACAGATTCTAAGTGAGCAAGTTATATTAGGCATTAAGTAGCTTTATTAAATAAAACAAACAATACACCATTAGCACTATGCTCCTTGGTCTTTTTGGTGGCCCACGGCTTGTTATAAAAGTTTTTCCAGTTTGTAAAGTTACAACAAATTTTCAAACAAGCGTGATAGAAGAATTTAATCAACAAATCATAACTGCAGGTGGAAAACCTCTTGGGTTAATAATGGATAACTGTCGAGTAAACCAAAAAACATTTCATTATTTTAATGCGAAAAAAGTTACAGCATACTATCTTTTAAATGACACTGTCCATATTTTAAAATGTATTCGAAATAATTGGATCACTGAAAAATTACAATGTTTAAAATATAGATTGCTAAATGATAACGATACTGTGCGACTTGCAGAATGGAAATTTATAATTCAACTTCATGCTGCAGATAGTCGAATAGTTAAGTTGTCACCCTTAACACAAAAAGCTGTGTCACCAAAACCAATTGAACGAAAAAATGTTGGATTAGTTCTTAAAGGTTTTTATGATGAAACAGTTGCAGCATTACGTGTAAAATTTCCTGAAGCTGAAGATACTGCACTTTTTATTGAAACAGTTGTTAAGTGATGGCTTATTGTCAACAGTAAAGCAAGAGGTCTAGTTATTAGATTAAATGATATTCGAAGAAAGCCTATTACTTCAGTTAATGATTGACAAATAGATTTGCTTAGAGAACTATTTTTCGTGTTTTGCTGAAAATTTGAAATGCGTAAATTCAAAATTGAAAATGCGTAAATTCAAAAGAGAAAAAGTTAACAATGGATACTGCAAGTGCTTTGCAAAAAACTTCTAAAAAATTAGCAAGCTGTGCCAAGTTTTTGTTGAATTGCGGTGTATCTTATGTATTGTTAGGACATATGCAATCAGATGCACTAGAAAAACAGTTTAGGAAATATCGGCAAGGGTCAGGTGGCACATTTCTGATAACTGTGCAAAATGTTATTCAAAAATTTAGAATCGACAAAACTAGAAACTTGCTAGACAAGCATACAGATTTTACAATACTTCCTCCTGCTCACTACCACTGTGATAAGTGTGAACTTGATGTGGAGTTTATTATGTCAATATGTAAAAATTGTGAGGATTAGTTGCCAAATGAATGCAATCAAGGACTTTTATATATTGCAGGTTTTATTGCTTACAAACTTCCAGAATTACATTCAATTTTAGAAGAAACAGACAGCTTTGATATTATATATATTTGATAATTTCTTTGAATAGGGGAAGACTAAGAGAACCTTCTGACAATTTAGTCTACTTTGTTTGTATTTGAAGAACTTTGTTTATATTTGAAGTGACACTTGTGAATAAAGTTTCACCATTGCTGTGCAAGAAAGGATTAATTGACATATTTATTAACTGCAATAGTATATTTCAATTGCTTGTTCAAAGTGTTAAAAAAGTTTGCTGCATTTTGGCAAACATTTTTTTAAACAATTATTGTAAAAAACACTCTGAAGATTTTGGGAAGAAATGTTTAATAAAACAAGCAAAACTTTCAACTTCAAAATAAAACACTTTGAGTCAAAAAAGTCAAAATAATTTTAATAAAATAAAGTTAATATGTTTGCTTGTTTTTATCAAAAAATTTATTATTTGTATTACAAGTGTTAAACAGCTAAAATAAACATATAGTTATAAAAACGAGATTTAGTCATTTTTAGCTAAACTCCTTAAATTTTTATTGTAATTAACTTATTTCTAAACGTAAAAAAAATTCCTACAATATTTGCTTTCGAAATTCAATCAAAATGTTTTGTCCTAATAAAGCCCTTTATTTGTTTCTGAAGTTTGTTTACAAAAGCAAAGATAAAAAAAAAATTTTAACCGTAAAAAAGTCGGCCTTCGCTGATTTTACGGAAAATGAGCTGTCGCGGCCTGTTTAAGAAGGCCTTGAGTAAAATCAATCAAGTTCAGAAACACAAACGATCTATTTCAAATAAAAATAAAAATAAAATCTTCTTAAAATTGTAACCAGCAAAGAAGTCCTTGTGTTTGCTGATAAAACCAATAACCTATTCAAAATGTCCGCTGAAAGTCAGGATTAACTAATGAACGATGTTACAAAAATTGTTACAAAAACCTACAAAAAAGTACCCGATAATTTAGAAAAATCAATTAATTTAGAAGCCAACCAAATAGCCTTAAAACTAATTTTGAGTGACTGAATAGAATACCTAGCAAAATCTCCAGCTTTTATTTCTCTAAAAGACTCATAAAGAAAACTTCAAATCAAAACCAACATGCCGTCTCATTAACCCCGCAAAAAGTTAAATTAGAATAATAAGCAAAAAAATTTTAGATACCACAAACACAAACTTAAGAAACAGCCTAAGAGTAAACCAATGGAAAAATACAATCGATGTTATCAGTTGCTTCTTCATTCAATTCGATATAAATGAATTTTACCCATCAATAAGTACCGAAATATTTAACGAAGCCGCTTTCTTTGCAAAATAATACACATCCTTAACACGACCAACCTAGAATCGTAAAACACAGTCGAAAATCCCTCATCTACTACAACAGTAACACGTGGATAAAAAAACTGAACCATATAAGTTTTGACGTAACAATGAGCAGCAATGATGGTGCCGAAATTTGCAAACTCGTAGGAATCTACATACTTAATGAGTTATCCGATATTATTAAAAAAACCGACATAGGGATATATCGTGGTGACGGTCTGTTAGTAATACGTAGTTGTAACGGTTAAGAAACTGAGTGTACTTTAAAAAACATAATTTAAAAGTTTAAAAATAAGGGATTTTAAATAGACATTAAAAAAAATCTTAATATCAGTTGACTTCCTTGATGCCATTTTTAATTTTATCCCAAAACACCTAAAAACCATTCAAAACACCTAACGACAATCTTCAATACGTTCATACATCTTCAAACCACCCACCACGCCTTAAACAATTACCTACTTCAATATGCATAAGACTTTCCCGAAATTCCTCAAACGAAGTTATACTTAACCAATCCAAAAACGAGTATGAACAAGCATTAAAAAATAGCGGGTATAGAAACAACTCCCTAAAATATAATAATAATCTAAACCCACCCCAAACAAATCGTAAACAAAATATAATATCGTTCAACAGCCATTTAACAGAAACATCTC